AAGATATTGTTCATGTTTGGTAATACCGAACAAAATAGTTCTCCACTCATTTTTTTGGTATTGATCTTGTGTTGATGTCCAAAAAGATATCGTTTGAAGCTTATTGATTCAACAAAACAACCTAATTTTATAGGTAAGTACAAGATCATCAATATATCAATAGAGGATCCAAAGTTGCTACTATGTTACGATGATTAAAAGTTCTAATTATTGCGTTCCACAGAAATAGACAAATTCAGTTTTTTTAAGGTAATGAAAACACTTTCGATCTTCATGTGAAGCACTTGAAAATAAATATGTAACACATATTTAGGAATAATTAAGATATGCTTTAATTTAAACTTACCAGCAAGCAAGTCAGCAAGGCTTCCCATGGGGTAGTAATCAGAGAGAACAAACTTGATCCTCTTAGCATACAAATAAGCAATGACAGGCACAAGATACTCACTCTTCTCACTCACCTTAGCCAAGTGCTCTATTCTCTTCCCAAACTCACGCCTCCCAGAGCTCACTTTCCTAAACCTCTTCACAGCACAAACCCTACCTCCCAACAACACCACCTTCTCAGTCATCCCCAGCCTGCTCTCCCCTATCACACCCACCGAACCTCTCAGCACACCCCTCAGCGTCAAGTGGGACAGCCCTTCCCCACATCCAAGACACTTCCTGTCGTGTCCGCAGCGGACAAGTGGCAGGTCCTGCATGAACCCTACGATGCAATCTTCGTAGTCGTTGAACGAGCTGGTGGTGTAGCCTTGTAGTGGGTCTTGATCTTCATTTTTGGGGCTCTTTCTGGGCTTTGCTGTTAAGGCTCTTGACAACATAGTTTCAGAGAGGAATTTTGAAGAGAGGATTTGTAATGTCAAATGTGTTTTGGTTTTTGGTTTTTGGTGTTTTGGTGAGAATTATGCCGTGTGGTTGGTTTTCTTGTTGGGTGTGATTTTGATTTATAGTGACGTTTCTTGGTTGTATCAATCCAGCTAGCTTGGTGCTTCGTTATTGGGCCCTTGGGTTTCAGAAAATCCAAATGTGGAATCTGATATTTTTCGAACTTTGTCTAGCCTACCAAACCAAACACATTGGTATATATCATTCATATATTTCCATGGTGTTATTAAGACTAGGGCCGTGCAGATCCAATTTAATCCGCTTAAATCAACCTATTCAATTTAATTTTTATTCATTTCGATAATATTGGAAGATTGGATTGGTTCGGATAGCGAATCAAAAATTAAAAATCCAACCTAAACCAAACCAATCCAATATACACATTAATATACATTCATATTGTATAATATCTACACTTTCATCTTGTTTCTCACTAATATATTAATCTTACTTTAAAAAAAATTAAAACATTAACATATTGAATATATTATTATAGTAATTTATATTAAAAATTAATATATTAATGTCATATCTTTGATCATATTGAATTTTGTATTATATGTAATGAAAGATAATGAAGTTTTTTTGTGATGATTATTTTTTCATAAAAACCGATCATCCAATCCAATTCAATGTATATTGGATTGGATTGTGTTGGATCCTGAAATCTTACCATATTGGATTGAATTGTAAAATTTGTAATCCAATAAAAGATTAGATTGGATTGGATTGGTAAAAAACCGTTGGTTTCGAACCGATGCTCACCCTTAATTCAAACCTCTTATTTACACCCTAAAATTACTAAACACACCATTTCCCAACCTCATAATATGTATTTACCTTTTTTAGAAGAAGAAGAATAAAAAGATGTTACATAACCTATCTGGCAATACTTTTAGAAGGCTAAGAAGCATTTTTGACAGCATTGGTCATGATAAATAAAAAGTGCTTATAAGTTTTAAAATATGAGTGATGCCTTCATGACAGTTTCACAATATGTATAAGAAAACTCCCTTCTCTCGATATCACTTGTATAAAAGAAAAATTCAAGTGATTATAAAAGACTCTTCCACGATACACCATAAGAATTTCACTGCTATAAAAGAATCATTGTGAATGAATGGCCAGTAGAGTTTTTTTATAAAAGAAATTTAGATATATTTGAGTAAATACTTTTAATCACTTGAGTTACAGACGTCTTGTAGAAAAATTAGGAGGTAGGAAAAATGTTTAGATTGCTTAAAATAGGGTTGTTAACAATGTAAGCCCAAGAATGTCTTCACCAAAGGGCACAAGACAAGACCACTCCAAATTTTGTGGAGTTGGTAAGAAAAGGCTCGCCCAAAACTTGAGAGCATGAGATTCAAATGGCCCACTTGCAGTATTTGGTTCAGGCCGGCATTGATTAAGATATGGCATAAACAAAACTAAAGATAAGAAAAGAAGATTCAAACTTTCACATAAGATCTCCAAAAAAATAATATATTTTTGGGACATTATTATTGCTGTTGGAGTAAAAAATACTACAACTGCACCACGTAGCAATCGCAACATAAAATAGCGGTGGTGAGCATGTGTCTTCTGTTCCAAAGTCGCCCTCCCAGCAGAGTCTTGGTCAGCCTCGCTCGTTTTCTCCCCCTTCTAACACGTCCTGAGTGACGTCATTTCCGACCCTCTTCTCACACCCGGCACCCAGTTTTACTAAAATACCCCCTTCTCCAATGTTATTTGACCCCTTTTGATTTACTATTTGAGATAAGCCTCTTTGTCAATATTTTTTTGCAAAATTTCAATTGCGTCTCTAATACGAGGAAATTCTAAGAAAAAAAGTCTTAGTTGTCGCCTTCTTTCGGGGGTTGGTTGCTTCATTCTTTACCTCATCCTCTCTCATTTCATCATTTCTTTTCTCCTTTCCTTAATTTTTCCTCAAGATTATTAGTTTATTTTGTGATATGGAAGCAATCGTTGTGAAATGATGTTATCGCCATGATATAGTCAATATATTTGAGCCCATGTACACAAGGTGTTGGCTCCTTTCAACATAATTTAGAGCTCTAAAGAAGGGAAGCTGTTTGGTTGCACTGAGTTCGAATTTAACCAATGCGTGACAATGGGTTTAGCCGACATGACACTATGATTTTCTTTGAGTTACTTGGAAGATGTGGAGCGGTGGTCTTGTTTCTTAGTTTTGTTTTAGACCAATAATTTTTAGAAACTCTTTAGGAGTTTGTTGTAATTTGTTTTCTATTTAGGATTTTTATTTTTTTTTAGCTTTTGACTTTCGATACGGATTTTTCATTTCTGTCATTGAGCGGCGGATTTGTATTGTAGGTATTAGTACATGTGTTTCTGGTTGCTGGATCAGGGATTTAATCATTGTTTGGATTGTGCGTAATTCTCTCTATATTAATTCAACATGTTGTGTTTGGTCACTAAAGAAGATTTACCTAAATTTAGCACATAGTTACTCTGTACTTTTGTGCATGCTTTTAAGTTAAACATATCGAATGTTGGTCGCCCAAAGATTTCATATTGTAAATGAGTTTTTTTTATTACAAAAAGTTCTTTAGCAAACTCATTTATTAGTGAGACCTGAATTTTGCTTATCTAATGACTTTTAGCTTTTCAAAGAACAATTTTTATTAAACTTAAGTGAAGAAAACCCTAACCGCACTCTGATCCTCTTTTTCCTTGATGACAACCAACCACGAGGAAGCTAAGGGGGGGAGGTGGCCACTGCCCCTCCTCCCCTTCGCCCATCTTCCCCTTCCTCTCCTCATCTCCCTTTCTTTTTCTCCCATATTTTCCTTTCCTCTTATCCCCTCTTCTCCTCCCCTTCCCGTTCCTAGATGGTCTAGATTTGTTTGGATCTAGGTCTGTTTGTTTATTTATTTTGTTTGGTTGTTTTTGTAGTGTTCCAAGTGACCGGTGTTGTCTTTGTCTTGGCGGCGGCGACAATAGTTACGCTATATTGTGTCTCTCCTTAGGAGAGTTGTGATATTTGGTAGTTGATGTTTTGTCTCTGTTTTAACGGCGGCGGCAACAACGACATTAATGGTAGTTGTTGGGATATGGTGCTCTTCTTTACTCTGAGCTGACCAAAGAACTATGCTTAGTCATAGAAGGTTTTCTTTGTCAGGTTCTAAGTTGAAATGGAGTGCTTATCATGGATCTTTTTACTGCTGTTTCTGTGTTCGTCCTCCATATTCTCTTATGGTTTTTGCTATGGTATGACTTACAGTTTGTATGAGTGTCAAAGGACTATGATTTTGCTCATAGAAGGCTTCTTTTGACAATAGGGATGTTCTACGGTCCTTTCCTGTGGGTTTACTATTTGGGGTTTCTACGATTCTCTTATGTGGGTCTACTGTGTTAGTCTCTAGTTGCGGTTCTCCTCAGAGGCTTTGTGTTAGGTTTTGTTTTTGACTTGTTCTTTTATTGTAATAGTCTAAAGTGACCTGAATGGACTCTCATGCTAATCCATGACGTGTGGGGTACTCTTTCCTCCCATAAAATTTGTCCAATGAGGTTGTCCTAATAAGGTTTTAATGAAGCCACTGTATCATGTCGCTCTTTGTACGTTTGTGATTTTATGAATGAATTCTCCCTCTCAAAAATGACTTTTAGCTCTTCAATCAAATTTTCTACATTAAAACAAGAAACAATACAATCAATCCAAAAGTCAGATGACTTTTAGTTCTTCCATATTTATGTCACCTCATCACTGTGAGAGAGTATAGTAAAACGATGAGAGTCTCTTGAGATGCTCCTAGTGAGCTTAGCTGAATAGCAAATATGTAAATTCGACAAGAGAACGAGCCCTTATTTGGAAATTGGATCCATGTGGTCGTGCCCGCATTTTCCAAGTCAACTCAGTCGAATCTCATATCCCTCCAACTAACGGCTCTCCTGTGAACCCAATCTAACCGGAAACCCCCTCCCTCCAATCACGTGGCCGGTCACCCCATTGCCCGCTGCCCGCCATTTCCTCCTCCCCTCCCCTCACTCAAATAGTCACAAATTTCAAACCCCAACTGCCCGATCTGCCCGAAACACACCCCTTCTAAGTTATATATATCACCACCAACCGCTCATCTTCTCCAATTCACAAAATGGCCAAACTCGTCTTCTTCCTCGTCGCTCTCCTCTTCCTCTTCTCCTTCTCCCACGCCCTCACGCCGTCCGATCTACCCGAGAAGGAAACCAACGGCCCCGATCCAGCCAACACCAAGTTTCCCGAATCCGAAACCAAGTCCGCCACCGCCATACTCTTACCCAGCGAGAAACGCGACTCCGAACCCGCCAAGGATTTCGAATGGATACCGGAGGCCGCCGATACGAAGCTTCCGGATTCTGATGGCCCCACCATCTTGGCCAACGAAGAGTCGACTGAGTTCACACACAGCGAGTCCGTTCCGTTGACCGTCATCAGCTTCCGCCCCGTCAACCGCCACTTCCCCAGGCGCCCCTTCCCGTTATCGTTCCGTCACGGACACCGTTGCCGCCATGGCCGCCGCCATGTCGGGCCGTGGAGCCCACGCTTCCACGGAGGAGAACGCGACCGCGACGTCGTTGCGTACGGTAACGACATGATCCTCGGCGACGACTTGGCTTTGGATCCGGTGTTTCGCGGTGGACCGCGCCAGATCCCTCCTAGGTGGGGCAGTTTCCGCCACGGTGGGCCCAGGTTCCCGTTCAGGCACGACGACGACATGGAATTGGAGAGGCCGCATCACCATCATCACCACCGCCACCACGACGACCACGACCGCGAAGAATTTGAAGGAATGGAGAAGCCGAGAGAGCACAGGCATGAACACGAACGGGAGCACGAGGGTGGTTTGATGAGGAGGTTCCGCAAGTTCTTGAACCGCTTCTGAGTTTTGAAGCGACTATCTTAATCTTATCTGTTTTGGGTTTTACTTGTTCTAGCTTGTAATCTTATGAGACTCTGTTTCTGTAAATAACCATGCATCCATGGGAGATGTAGCATCTTATCTTATTTGTATTATGCATCTACGTATCTATGTAAGTTTGACTACTATGACAGATAGATTTTATATATAAAAAGAATGGTTTGCTATGTGATTGCATCTGAACCCAGAATTTTTCTTTACCTTATATGGTTAGACAATGAAAAAGAACAGAAAATACAGAGCTGAATTCTTGTAGCTTTGAGGAGCAGAGAGGAAGAGTTACATAAATAGAAATTTTTAGGAGTAGTTGGAGCATGTAGATGCTCGCTGGGCACTGCTCAGCTCTGAGCATTGTAAAGGGCTAACCAGATGGGCAGCCCCGCTAATGTCCGAGCACTTCCAGGGTGGCGATCTTGATCCCGTCATGCCGTTGAGATTGATGTTGGAGAGACATATACCGGTGAAAGGGGAGTTCTTCAGACCTAGTATTACGCCAGCCTGCTGAACCTGCACGCCCCAAACGTCCTTTAATGTGATGCCCTTCACGACTGGGAGAGCATTTTGGTTGTATTTGTCATCTGGGTGGTCTCCAACATCTCCTGCAATCTTTATTCCCTTTCGGACTTTTTCCATGTACACGTCTGAAACTGTGATGTTTCTTATGAACCCTCCCCGGCCAATGTTTGTTTTGATGTGGATGCCAACTCCCATGTTGTAAAGGTTTATATGTTCAGCCAAGACATTCTCCACCCCACCAGAGGTTTCACTTCCGATCGCAATTCCAGCAAATGGGGATGATCCTCTAACACGGCGGATGGTAATGCCCGAACTAGGGCGGCCATAAGCGATCCCGTACTCATCCCATCCACTCTTTACAGCCACAAGATCATCTCCAGTAGATATGTATGAGTCCTCTATGCAGACATTAGAGCTTGAATCTGCACATATGAATACAAAGATATACATTATGAACATGAACATAAAGAGGCTTCACACTTAAACTACAGGCAAATAGACAATTGTGACTCTTCCAGACTCAATCGTGACACCTATACAATGCACAGACCCTTGTCTTTTCCGCAGTAAACAAGATGTGGCTTATTTAGATAACAGGCATGTACCTGGATCAACTCCATCAGTGTTGGGAGAGTCATTTGGAGCCAAAATTGTGACATACCGGACAACAACGTTGCTGCAAAGGAGAAAAGTATGTATCAGATCAAAATCACAGCTCAGAAGTAAATTCTTTGCAGAAGGTGCATTAGGCTCAAGCACCATAAGGGCAGCTTAGGAAAACAAGAAACAGGATAGTTGTATTTGTACTATAATTTAGCTGGTCGATTTGATGTAATTCCAGCTTATAATCAGAATGTATTGGCAAAGTCGCAGTAAATTCATCAAGAAATTTGACTTTCACCCAAAAAAACTTTCCGACCTAATCATTATCAGACAGCATTCAACCTCAGGTTGAACTGGTTATTTAACTTTTGTACAGCCCTCTATGAAATGCTACCTTCTCTTCAACCGTTTACAAAGTGAGTTTCTGACAGAAGTTCAACCTCAGGTTGAACTGGTTATTTAACTTTTGTACAGCCCTCTATGAAATGCTACCTTCTCTTCAACCGTTTACAAAGTGAGTTTCTGACAGAAGTTCCAAAAGTATTTCTCTCATTGAAGTGAGGCAATTGATCAGAACATTAACAATACGGCGCCAACTAACCTGTCTTCCCACAATCAATCCCTTCTGACCTACCCGAACAACATGTATGGACCCCCTCAACCCCCTCTTTATTGCAAATGTATAACTTACTTCCAAGTCTGCAGTCACTAACTCAACTCAGAATGGCAGCAAATAAAAAAGAATATGATGAATTTTTCACTTCCAACTTCGTACTTTACTTTCGTTTAAAGTGATTCAGCTTCAAAAAACAATTGGTTTAAAGGGTGAACAAAAGACTCAACTTCGCAATCATAAGTAAAACAAACTGACGGATATAGTTTTTGAACAAAAATGGCAGGTAGAGTACTGTAAAAGACTAGAAACATAAGGGAAAACAAAAGCTCCAGTCTATAAATAAAAAAAGCAAAACTAAATTCCACGTTTGGCTGTTACCTGCAATAAACAGGGTGAATGTTCCAAAAGGGAGAGTTCTGGAAAATCACATTGGAAATTATAATGTTTTTCGAGTTCATGAATTCCATGAGATTTGGTCTAGTAAACTGAAGAGTTCTTTGCCTCCACATGTTCCACCATACACCCCCTTGGCCATCGATAGTCCCATTCTCACCTGAAAAGGAACAACAACTCATTAGATATAGGGTAACCCATAAAAAGAAGAAGTATGTCAACTCCCACAACCCAGCCTCCGCCACACCCAAAAACAAAACAAAAAAACAATAATTAAATCTTGTTCAAACCTACCAGTGATAACCACATCTTGGATTCCATCTCCATGAATGAAGCTCATATACCTCCCTCCAGGAAGCTCCCTCCCTCTTCCATAAGATGGCAAAGGAGCAATCAGAGGCCAATTCCTAGTATCCTGATGCATCAACCCACAAAGAGAATTGGAAGGACCACAACATAAAATGAAACAATGACCACAAAATAAATCAACATTCACAAAACACTTCTATCATATAGTAAAGGGGGGAAAAAAGGTTTGCTGTAATGATGTTTACATAAGGGTCAGCATTTACAGCATTTATATTTAGGACCCTGCTGCTGCAAATCAGCAAAAATACAATAGTCAAAATTTTGAAATGATGTATTCTAAGAGATGCTTTACTGTACAAAACGCAGGGCTTCAAATAAACCACAGACATATTAGTGGAAACTGATTATTTGGAAGAACTTTCAGTATGAAAGTTATAATCATTCCAGTAAAGGAACTTAAGATAATTGTTTGCCGTGCCTTTATTGAAATTGTAATTTTATATACATTCATTTTCATTTTAAAAGAGAAGGAGAAAAAAGTTAAAATGTCTCTTGGAAAAGAACCCCATAGATTAACTGCTAGCACAAATTATAGCGCCGCATTATGAACTAAAAAAAGTAGCAAAGCATTCCAATAGCGAACAGCTTTTGAACATGCCAGATAGTTACAAGTCCAAGTACAGAAAACTATGGAACCATCAGTTATGGCGCTCTGTGACCTGCTGATTAGGGTATCACATTCTTTTCCCGCATTAAGCACAAAATCATGCCATAATCTAAAGGTTAGGTTGCCTTTTCATGACAGTCAAACTTAGTACTATAATATTTGATTTGGCTTATAGCCTAACATATAATATAAATCATAGTGTTTAATTAATAGAAGACATTTACTTTAGAGGAATGGTTTTTGTAATAAAATAATAACAAATCACTGTTGCTGTTTTCTTAAATAATAAATTGTGACCAAGCCATTCTTATCTTTGTCGAACCAGCAATATACTAATTTATTGTGACAGTATCAAAGACGACAAGATCTGTGACAAACCATCTAGCTGTCTAACTATTTGATTCGTCATTCTATAAATTATATGCACATGCAACCACGCTGCAATAGACCCACCATGTATTTCTGCTTTTAGCCTGGTTCCGCCGCATAGCCCGAAGCCCCAGGCCACACATTCATTCTTTCTTGCTAAGCCACACAGGGCCAAAACAAGTTGGATTTTTTTATTTTTTTATTTTTGAATAGACACAAACACTCATAGAGATTACAAAAGTTGAACATAATCACACTTAAAACTCTGAAACCACTCATTTACTTGCATGACCCTACACTCTTATTCCTCAACTCTTTCAGTAAAAAAAAGGCACAACCCAGTAAACTGAAGCACAAATATGTGGACTTTGTGCCATCAAATTAACTGTGGCCATGGTAAAAGTATTAATTTGTAGAGCACAATTTAGGTGAATACATTGAATTGGTCATGAAAAGAGTGTTGGGTTTGTACCTGGGTGGCTTTGATAACAGCACCTTTGGCCAAATAAAGAGTCATGTGGCTTGTGAGATTGAAGCTCTCTGTTAAGTAGACCCCAGGAGGTATGTAAAGAAGCGTGCCTCCTCTCCTCTTCAAATGCTCAATCCGATATATCGCTTCCCGAAATGCCTTGGTGTTCAATGTAACGCCGTCGCCGACGCCTCCGAAATCCGTTATCGATATCTTGTCGTTTCGGTACCTCATGGGCACTATCCCAGAGCAAGTTAACACTTCCGCCACTGAGAAGTAGCTGAGGCAGAGGAAAATCGAAAGGGAAAACCAGAGATAACCCATTTTTGGTAATTTCTAGAGTCTACGAGGGGAATTGAGAGATAAAGCGGAGGGGTTAAAGTCTAAAGCGCCAAAGAGAAAGCTCCAAAAAGTGCTTTAATGGGTGAGTAGAAGGAGCAAATGCTAGTTGTTTAGATCTGGAAACGGAACAAAGAGAAGGCTCCAACAACCCAGCTCCAAAGAAGCGATTTTTGGTTAAGCTGCAAAATGTGTTTGCATTAATAAATTCAAAGACAACAGCTTTTCGTTAAAGATTTAAAAGCAGAAAGCAGAGAGAGGAAGAACATACTGGTTGTTGTAGTTGTGGGTTTGAGCTTAAAGCTTTAGCTGCGCTGATCCAACGGCTGAGATGAGCCTGGAAGATGACTTCGGAACTCGGAATCGGAGTTTATGAATTTGAGAGTGAGAACTTTGTCTGCAAGTAATTGTCTTGAGCTGATAAAAGAGAAGGAGAGTGCGTGTGAGTAGAGCAAGTTGTGGGAGCGCAACACTTAAAAGCACATTGGGTCGGTGGTTAATAAGCACCGCTTTTGTCACAAAAAATTAGCGCTTTCCAATGGAAAAAATATACAACAGAAAAATGCTACCGTTAGTTCCAGGTGGGGCATGGAGAATTTTGGGCCGTTGATGAGTGGAATCCACATTATCAAAGGATGAAAATACTTCACCCTTATAATTTGCAGACATTTGTAAGGTCCACATTATCAATGAACGTAAATATTTCATATGAGTAATACCCAAGATATTAAAAGAGGGGGATTCGAACACGGAACATTGAATGCAGTAGTAACTGCTTTTAACTATTTGAGTTAAAATAAGTCTGTTGTAAAGCAGAATCTCTGGTTTAAATATAAAAATAATTGCATCTTGGATGGAAGATGCATGCTGCAACAAAATAATAATTTAGAATTTAGAGAATCAATTAACCAAATTTTGTTTTGAAAAACAAGATGGGAGACGATTCAAAGCTTAGGAGGAGAAGTAGTAGTAGTAGTTTTCCCTTTTCCTTCAATTGAGAAATAAATAAATCACATGAAATTTAACATGGGGCATTCAAAATTCAGACTCAACATTGGCCTTTTAGGCCAGGAACTTAGGCCCATGACGTTCAGTCCAGTTAGCTTGAGAAGACCGCATACTCCCTCGCAACACTGAATCATAGCTCCTCTGGTTTTTCCCGCCATCTTGCCTAGTCCCAGTCTTTGCCCTATCCCGCCATTTTTAACCACAACTCTCTCTCTCATCGCCTCCCTTATTCACTTTGCGCTCTCTGTCTCTCTCTTCGTGTTCCTTCACTTGGCTCTCTCCGAGGTCAGTGCCCTCTTTCATTTCATTTCAATTTTATTTTTACCTCGACTTTTTGTTTCGTTGCCGAGAAAGTGAAGGAAACGCAAAGAAAATTTACGTTCTGTTACTTACATTCAATTGTAATGTGAATTTCGTTTCATAATTATCATGGGTTTTGAAATTTGACCCCTTTTTTTCTGGATAAAACGTTAATTTTATTGTTGGGTTTAGTTTTTTTTTCTTTCCATTCTCGTGGTAATGTTAATTCTGCTTGATTGTGATGTTGGGTGCCAAGAGAATAAAATAAAGCAGAAGGTTGCTCAATCAAGCTTCTCAATATCTGTTTGATGTTCATTTTGATTGTATTAGAAATTCTTAGTTATTATTCCTCCCAATCACAATGCTATTATGTTAGGGTTTAATAGACCTATTCTTAAATCTCTATGCATTTTGGAACAATGACGGTGCTGATTGGACATAAAATGCAGGGACTCTGCTAAAAAATGACTAGAGACGAAGTTTCCAAAGGCAGCGATGACATGATGATTGACGAATATGAACAGAAGCAAGGGAATGTGGTTCCTGATGGATTTAACTCTCATTATCTCAAAGTTTACTATGGTAATCCCCGTTTAAGTTTATATTCTATTTGAATGTAATTGAGATAGTTACGTAGTTTTTGATTGCTTTAGAAGCTATGATTCTGTAGAATTTTACTTTATAAGCAGATGCTCCACTTTAGTCAATCGAATTGGTGGTTGTAACTTGTAACCTGTAAGGCACTTAAGACTTCAAACTTAGAACTAGATACAAATATGTGAACATTTGCTTATTGTTTGTGTAACAAGATATTGGTAATCACATGCAATGAGTGTTTGCTATTTTACTGAACATTTTTTTCGTTGATATGAATTTTGAGAGGTGATTTCAATAATCTTCCCCTTAACGGAAAGTGTTATTTGTGATAGGAAAGCTCTTTCCATATGCGGATATTTTTAAATGGATGTCCTATGGAAATGGTAAGCCACATCTCTCAATCAACCTGGTTCTAACCTTCAGTTTTCTTTGTGTTTTCATGTGCACACCTTGAAATTTATTTCTTCTGTGGACGTGTAACTAATTGCTGATTTGTAGATGGGAAGCATCCTGCGTGCGACCAGTCCTACTTTAGCCGGAGAGAGTTCTCTTTCACACTGGATAATGAGGTTTATCTGCGGTTCCAGTCTTTCAACTCTATGTCTGAGCTTGAAAATTCGGTGAAAGAAAAGTGTCCAGTCAAAATAGATATTGGGCCTGTGTACAGTGTTGATGTAAGCTTTTTATGTCTGTATTTCCCAACTATTTGATAATGCAAGCGTTGACTTGACCTAACAATTGAATCATTCAAATCCTGAAAACCAACTTAGAAACAAGATGTATTTGAAAGAATTCATAATTATAGATCAAAGATAGAATTCCTGTCCATGGTTTCTTGTTGATTTTAATTGTTGCCTGTGGTTGGGTTTATAATAACCTTTTAGCACCATATCTGTGGTTTGAGTTTTCATCTTTTCTATGTTGCAGCCTTCAAAGAGGCATGCATATGCTCAGAGTGGCGATAATGTTTTCACCCCAGTGGAGAGGGAGCTGATTTTCGATATAGTAAGCTAATCAACCACTTGAACTTTGAAGATAGTCAATAGTCACAGTCTAACTAAACCTTTGACTATGACCGTTCTACGACATGTTTGAGTAAGGTTTTCTCCAACAGGATATGTCAGATTACGATGATGTTAGATACTGCTGCTCAGGAGCTGATGTTTGTTTGGAGTGCTGGCCGCTTATGACAATTGCTATCAAAGTTATTGATACTTCCCTTAGAGGTAGGAATTTTGTGTTTTGGAATCTGATATATATGTGGTTAGAACCTTGACTTTTCACTTGTCTAAACTTATTTGCTGCAGATGACTTTGGTTTCAGTCACATTCTCTGGGTATATAGTGGAAGACGTGGCGTTCATTGCTGGGTTTGTGATGGGAAAGCAAGAAGGTAATTCTCTTAACAGTAGTAATCTTCCGTTTCTTAGGTTCCTAGGGCATGTCATGAAACTTAAACCATGTTCATTTTTCTTCAGGCTGACAAATGAACAGAGAGCAGCTATTGCTGACTATTTTCGTGTCTATAAGGTTGTGCACTGTTTAAATTATATTTGGGTTTTGAAAGATTTTTACATTTCTGTGAAAGTTGTTGATTCTATACTTTGTTCAGGGCAATGAAAACAGTCATAAAAAGGTTTCTTTTACCGGTCTTGCTCTCCATCCATTCCTTGCGTAAGTAGTAACGTACATTATTGACTTTACGATACCGGGCCCTTTGTTGTTTCCACTAAGAGTATTCATTCATGCAGGAGATCTTATACTGAAGTTCTTATGGATTTCTTTGAGAGGAAATTGCTTTTGAGTCAAGAGATATTTTCAACTGAGGAGAGATATGAAAAGATCTTAGATATGATTCCTGATCCTGATCAATGTATATGATGATTCTTTTCATGTCCTATGCATCTCTATGCCATATCCTGGAATAATGGTCAAGTTATAATACTTTGTTATCCTTGCAGCTATTACTTCTGAGCTGCGTGGGAAATGGCAGGAAAAGAGAAGAACCGCTAATTCAAAAGATGACATTAATGTTCTTAGATGGGAGCAGCTGAAAAACGTGCTGCAATCTGGAAAACATAAGGTACAAATAGCAGATGTTTTTGAGTGTATGTACCAAAAGTGCATTGTTCTGGGACAACGATCCTAGTCTGTGAAATAGGATTTTGATGTTTGAAATTGTAATTAGGCCTTTAGTGAACTTAATTTTACTTTTAATCATTAATTGTTTCAGGTGCAGGGACTGCGCAGGTGTGTTGAAGAGATTGTGTTCTCTTTTACCTACCCTAGGCTTGACATGGAGGTATGCACAACAGCCCCACTTTCTTTTACTGCCTCCTGTTATTCAACTAGTAGTGTGTATAAACTAACTACATCAGAAATGTATGCTAAAAGATTATCTGTTTGTGGTAGGTTTCAAAACATATGAACCATTTGTTAAAGGCGCCATTCTGTGTGCATCCAAAAACAGGTTAGTCCCGGTGGGAGTTTGTTTTTCTGGTGGTACAGGGTCTGGTTGATCGTATTTAATGAATTTTTTCCGGCGCTTAACTGCTTTTTACTCTCCCCCCAATTGATAAATATTAAGCATTTGGATATTCTTAATGTTTCTCTGTTTATTTTATTTCTTTGTTCCAGGTCGTGTCTGTGTTCCAATCGATCCAAACCGATGTGAGGAATTTGATCCCACGGCAGTACCAACCCTTTCCAATGTAAATATGTACTTGGCTTCCAGTTTTCTTCTTCTCTGCATATATGTTTTCTTGGTGGGAGATTCTGTTATTTTTAGTCAAATACATAATGCGTATTCAACCATGTAAGATGGCAAATTTGATATAATTATAATTTTGAACATAGGGTGGTTTTTATGTGATCTAACCTGTATAGGATGCAACAATATGCACCGGTGCTTTCTCTGCCGGACCTTTTATATGACAAGAATGCTCTGAAAATATAACTCAACTAAGCCTTAGTTCTACTGCGGGGTCAGCTACATGAGTCCTTTTTTCCATTCCACTATATCAACGAGTTTAGCCTCAGTCACATCTTTCACATTCATATCCATCCACATTACCTCTGACCATGTTTTTGGTCATCATCTTCCCTTAGAACCTTATACTTTAATCAAATCACTCTTCCGTAAAACTGCATTGCTAGGTTGTCGTTGTACATGTTCAAACCCCTTTAAACGATTTTCCCTTATTTTATCTTCAAGTGATACCAGTACTACCGTTTTAGGAATACATTCATTTTTTATGGTATCTTTTCTTGTATATTACTTCGGCATATTTACATCTGCATTCATCCTATGGACATGTTGTAGCCTGGATGCCTAGCACTCCTTGTCTAATAACATTGCTGGTCTGGATATCTTGTAACCAAAAAGATGGTGTGCATGCCTTTTTATTGCAATAAATTGTACATTATGTAAGCTGGTTTTTTCTCACAATTCATTGTCTCTTGAGTTTTATGTATCTTACATGATTATTATGTTCAATCTGCAGCTTTTAGAACAACTTAATATTGGAGGTTTAAGAGCAGAAGTTGATAATGGTGCGTCAAGTAACAGCACGTTTCTTTCATTTCATCTAGCATTGACTCTGATTTAGCATAGGAGGTTATACCTAGATGGAAAAATGATGTCGTTTGGATGGTTGTATCATGTATGATTATTGATTAGGCAATTTTGATGTAGGAAAAGCTACAAATTTTCCTGTTTACTGCAGGTGAACCTGCACTAAGAGCCACTTGAAATATATTTTGCTTTTGTGATTGATGGTGTTGTATATCTTTTACTTGATCACAGACTGGGACAGAACTTCACTTGGAAAATCAATACGGTTTTTCAGATCGTCATTTTTGCAGCCTCTGCTAAAATCTTGCAAGGTACATAAGCAACTAACAAAACATTTTTATTTTAATTCTGCTTGAAAGATTGTTCATAAACCAGAATCATCTAGTCATGTTGAAGGATCTTGTTCTTTAGAGTAGAACAGAACATTCCACAAAGTCCTAATTTGATACCAAAAACAAAAATTATTTTTCAGACTTAGTTGTGTTCTTATCTATTAATAGGTTTTGTGATTCATGAATGTTTGCAGGAGGAGATGGAAAGTTCATACAGTGCGAAACTGCAGCAATCGAAGAACTCCTTTAGTTGGTAAAACTGTTTGCTACAATACAATTATAATTCATCTTGTGGAATTGTCCCAACTTTCTGTGGTCCAGTTGATGTGAAGTTATATTTTCAAAAGACAATCAGGATTTAACAACGTACTGACGTCTATTTGTAAATGACATGACACTTTGTTCACCAAACAGCACACATGTATCTTTTTTCTTTTCTTTTTTAAATATTCCTGTTGCAATTATTCTTCTTTTTTTTTATTTCCAATGCGAAATGTCCAGAAAATCATGTGGAGTGTATAGTTACCATCATCACATGCATATGATATGATAGTCCGAGTTTGAGTCTCCCTTCCTTCCTCCGTTCATAGGGAAAAAAAACAAAAACTAACAACCAGTTTCTATATGCCACGTAAGTTTATAGACATACCTATTTCATTATTGCAATCACCACAGCTTTAATATCTCCATTCTGATTTCCCATTGGAACTGATTTCTTATATGATCCATCATTTCAACTTCCATTTTCGTCATACATAAAAATACTTAAATGGTAAAAATGGGGTATGATACAACACGGAACTGCCTCCTCCTGTATCTATGTGTGTTGTCAGTTCTTGAAAGGATGACGATGAAGAAGCCCATCTGAAGAGACTTAACGTTCACATGGTGTTTCTTCTCCAATAGGCACATTTGGTCTTTGGAGGACCACAAAACAACCTCATCTCCATTTTCACAGCAATGAGGATAAGGCCTTTCTTCTTCACCGACGTGGCTCACCCCACTTCACCATCATCACGTTGGGATTTTTTTATTTTTTTTCTTTCTATTTTTTAGTACAAGCGATAGTCTAAACTAAAGAGTTCTCACACACACATCAAACAAAGATGTCATGCTGGTTCAAATCTAACTTCTTGTCTGCAAGTGAAGGTCCTTTTTCATTGGGTTAGACCCGTTGGTTAAATTTAGGTATAATTTTGGAAATAAAAAATTTGAGAATTTTGGTTTATATTGAACTTTAAAAATTCATTAAATCACTACTTAATCCATAAATAACACAACTCAAGGTGCCCTCAGACATTACATATGACTGGCAAAGTGCCTTGGTGTACAAAAACAAGGCACAAATACAGGGCCACAAACAAGAGAGCCAAAATATAAATAAACATACTTAACCCCAACCAAACTTAGAAACCAAAAACAAAGACAAACAAACATATTCAGATGGCTACTCTTGTAAGAATAAACTACCAATTTACAATTACCACTAATACTAAACTAGACAAAACAGAAATTGACATACTACTAGTAGTACAACTACTTACTTATATACCCTTAATTTGAAATTTTAATCTAAACACCCAAGATTAAGAAAATTAAGACTCTTCTAATTAGCCAGAACTTCCCAAATCAACTCAGGATCATAGGAAGGCATTCTTGCAAGTGAGCAGCCTTCAAATTCTAAGTCCTCTGCCATCCCCATTGACCACTCTGTTGAAATAGAGGGTGGTGAATTCTCACACCTCCAAAGCCCATCTTCAGAAACTGTTGGTGTTGGTGTTAAAGACACCAATTCTTGACCAGAACCGTCGCCAAAACCCGAAGGCCACGACGAAGACGGCGACGAATCCACCTTCATCACAGCCTTCTCATTCTCACTGGAATTACTGCTCTTCTTCGCATTCTTCTTGGCTCTTTCTCTCTTCACCTTCTGGCAAATCGCTTGAATCTTTGCATCCACGGAGGTCTTCACAGCGTTCAATCTAGCGCAATCTCCAAAACCCATCTTACTTGGGTCCTTAAGATTGGGAAAATTCAACCTTGCATACTCTCCTCGAAGCTTATACGCCGCCCGATCGTAAGCATATGCGGCAGCTTCGGCGGTGTCATATGTGCCAAGCCAGACCCTCATTCTGTTCTGAGGGAGCCTGATCTCAGCGACCCATTTGCCCCAATGCCTCTGTCTCACTCCCCTGTAGAGCTTCTTCTTGCATGGAGCCATGTAAGAGGTTGAAGAACAAGCAGAGCTCTGAACTGGGTTCTTCTGAAAAAAGCGTGAAACCGCGGCGTTTGCCTGGCTTTCGTCGCAGAACTTCTGGAGAAGGTCTCTCTGGCGAAGGTAAACTGATGAACCCAGTGGCTCAGAAACAGAGCTGTTGTTGCTGGTGGTGGTGGTGGTGGTGGTGGAGAGTGTTTGTGGGCAATGAGAGAAAATTGAGTCCAAGGTGTTTGTGTTGCTTGTTAAGATGAGATTTGAGAGTGAAGATCGGATGTCAATGGTGTCAGAAAACCCAAAAGCAAGCTTACTGTCTTGCATTGTGTCCATAGTTCTGGTAAAAAATTGAAGCAAATATTTAATCTGCAGGAAACAGGGCACTGAAAATAAGTCCCTTTTCCTAAAGAACCAGAAATTAAAAACAAACAATTTGCAGATGGGAAAATAAGTGAGTGATCCGATTAAAAATATATGGACCAGAAGAGATGAAAGAGCTAAGCAGAGCAGAGAGCTCAAAAGAAGAGCAAGGTAGAGTTGCAGAAGAAAAGAAGGGAAGAAGCTTTGGAAACTTTGGCTCTCTGAGAGATAGAGAAGGTTAGGACCTTGGTTTTTTTGTTCTTGCTGAGGTTTAGAGAGAGAGAGAGAGGGTTAGGAAAGGCTGAAGGGTGTCCTTATTTATAGCTGCAGTTTATTGCTGAGCTTTTAACATCTAACCTCTGTTCACAACTTCAAAATTTCACATGGTTTGAAATTTGGTCCAACTTACCTCAACCCACATGAAAGATATGACTATTTTGCCCTTTTTATGTGGAAAGTGAGCCAAAATTGTGTTTTTGTTTTGTATTGTATTTCCTTTTGGTTGAATTGCTTTGGTCGGTTGAAGAATAAGAGTTTCTCTCCTTTTTTTTACAATCCCAAATTCTGTGTTGGGTATTGTTAACTCGATATAGTACGGTTTTAATCTAATGAAGTGAATGTGTTAATTTGATATAATTTACTCCGTAACAACTTAAACTTTTAAATTTAATGATTGTCTAACATTATATCAAACTCTTCATGTGTACGTGTAAAATGAGGTTGTAAGCCTACAAGCGAGGGAGGGTATTAGCTCAATCTACATCAAGAAGCTTTGGGAGCCTAATTTTTATTGCCCAACATGTGTTTGGTATTGTTAACTTGCTTTGGAACCCTTCTCTTTCTCCGCAGAATCATAACCAAAGGCTCAAAAACTAATGAGGATGATATTATGAAGAAAGATACGAAGGGTGTTATTGTAAAAGCAGGAAAGATCTAGAAACCGAAAAAGGTGTAATTGAACTGTACATTGTGGGACGATTAGCTATTTGTGATTGTGAATGTGTATCTTGTAAGATTTTTGGTTTCACTCTCCGTGTGGTCGGTGGTCCCCACTGCTGTTCAAAAGCTACTTTGTCGATTTATTATAGAGAGTCAGCTCTCTCTGTTCAAGTCCACACTCTCCATAACTCCTGCTGCCACGCGTCTTCTCTCTTTCCAACAGGTGGATGAGTTTTGCCCTCTTTTCTCGTTTAGCTTCGTCTCGTGCAGGTGCATTAGCAGCAGAGAGATTTTGCCTTTTGCATCAATGCTAAAGCTGATATACGCATCTGTGGATATCATCGGCTCATTGTATCATTTCTTCTAAGCTTCTTATTATACATCAAGCAATTATTCGACTTTGTGGAGTTTGAACCATTCAATGTTAAACAAGTTGAGCATGTGCACCCAATTGCTTAGCCTCTAGCTTTGTGTAAACGTCTCCGTATGTATATGGTTATCAGTCGTTGATGCATATAAAACTCATCATTAAATAATCATTAATTAATATGATTTTATATGCACACGAAGATAACGATCGATATTAGAATTTGAAGTACGTTTCTCTCATCTGAAACAATGGCCTACAAGGAGTCAATTTATTCCATTGCAATTTGACATGAGCAAAACCATTGAATATCTCTACTTTTTAATTCTCACAAGATTAGTTTAATCTAACCTTATGTGGATTCCTAACTACATTCTCTGTATATGGTTATCAATCGTTGATGCATGTGAAATTTATCATAAAACAACCATTAAACAAAGATAACGATCGATGTTAGAATTTGAAGGATGTTTATCTCACATGGAACAATGGCCTACAAGGAGTCAATTTTATTCCATTGCAATGTCACATGAGCAAAACCATTGTATATCTCTACTTTTTAATTCTCACAAGATTAATTTAATCTACCCTGATGTGGATTCCTAACTACATTCTCTGTACATGAAGGTTTTTGTGCTGTATGAAAATCATGGGTATGCTAATTTGGGAAAGGTTTTGTTTGCAAAGAGTTTCAATTGTCCCAAGAATCTCACTATAGATAGAAGGTAAGATTAGAAACTGAGGAGGTCACATCAATATTCAATAGTAGGATTGTTAAGGCATGAAATAAATAAGAAATTGAGGTAATAATAGTTGGAAACCTTTTTATTTTATTTGCTAACAACACTTCCAATGTCTTATCAATAAGATTAGGTCCAAATCTTATTGGTTCTTTTTTATGCAAAATCCTAAAACACAGTGAATCAAAGATTGCAGAAATTAAGGCAAAGCTTAGGGTAAAACCATGCATATGGGGTGAATTCTAAGTTGACAGAAAGACCAGGGGGGGTAAAACAGCTATGTTGGAAGGTAGCCATAGACTTCAGAGAATCTTGTGGTGCAATTGCAACTTGCAAGTCCACAATCCACTCAGAGATTGGGTAGTCTTGTAATTGAGTAAACCTAACATTTCCATACCCTTTTAATTTCTTGTGTTTTCAATCACCCTATCTAATGGCATCTATATGTTGTCATCTTGCATATTGAATTGATTGGGCATCATATAGGATTGTAGGATGTTTCACAAATTTGAGCAGGCAAACTTTTTGAAGAAGTAGCCCTTAGGAGTTAAGAACTACAACATGGGAGAAATAACTCATTTTCTACTCTCCATGTCATGCCCATAGCAAAATAATAAGGGAAACAAAAGTTGGTTATGTGTCTATTAATTGCCTTAATGAATCGAAGTACAACTTATAACGTTGTTGTCATTCATCATCAATAAATATGAAGTTTATACAAACTTACATGCATCAACAATTAAGAATCACTGACACATGTGTAGCATGCATGTATATATTACCACAAACCAAGCCGTAACTGATTCGAGTCATCCTCTTCACCACGGAAATTAATTAAGGAGAGAGAGAGGGTTTGCAAGGGAGGCAAAGTGCATAACAAATAACAATCAACCACTGATTGAATGAGTTTCTTTGTTAGACCAATTCTTCCAAATCAAAAGGGAAATTAGAAAGGGTAGGCGATAATATTTACATCATAGTGGACCCCGGGACAGTATGGTAGCATTAAAGACGCAAAGGTCTTCCTGAAAAGGTGATGGGGTTGTCCTTTTGAAGGACAAAGCTCGTGAAATGACACGCCCCATCTTCAGTGGCCCAAAGAAAAAAAGCTTCTGTGTTTGCATGTGAACAAGACCTAACCAATCTCTCCCCTTTGGCCCTCACAACAAGTCAATCGCAAATAGTACTGCTGCTTCTCTCTCTCTCTCTTCATGTTTTTGCTGAGGGAGATCTTTCTGTCCTCATCTTTCAGATTTTTCACTTCCTTTTTAGCTTCCTCTTCCACCTCCAAAGTTCACTTTTTTTGGGTAACCTAAAGAGGTGCATATGGAAAAACCCATACATTATTTTTGTTTGGATTTTGGACTTCGTGATCAGAATTAATTGAGTTAAAAGCAAGGTTGAGTTCTTAATCTTCATTCTTCATGCCATGCTCAATCTTATATTCATTCACTGCGGTATGTATTTTTATATATCTTATCACTAACATCATGATGATGTTTTATCCATCCTCGACTTTGAATAGTTGTACGACGACATACGTCTATATATGCTTATGAACAATTTCTAACCGTTAATACATATAAATTCAACTATAAAAATCACTTACATTAATTGTTCATAATCGCATTAATATAAGTGAATTCGACAATAAAAATCACATTTGCTGACAATCGCTCAGAAGCCATACAAATCGCCACGCTAGCATCTATCAAAAAGTGGATAGAAAAATTGATTTCATTAGAAACTTCGAGCAAAACGAATAATTATTATCTTAATGTAAATGGATCATCATCGTCACCACCTCAGACTCACAGGTCAATTTTGTCGACTGAGTTTTGAATTTTGCCACAAGAGGGCAATACGTGCGTAATTCAAAGCAAAAGCAGGGGCAATTACAGAGTTGAACATCAAAAGTTAAATTTTGGCAGTATTCGGACTTGGTCTTAAAGCATATCCGACGACGCCGACTATTATCATCATACAAGTGGTCCTATCTATCTACTGATACCGACACGTCACACAAGTGGCCCCACCATTTCACTTGTCGACTGCTATACGTGTCACCTTACCATTTCTCCTCCGGAAAAAAAGTACAATATCAAATTCTCGTGATTTCATTTCATTGCCGGGAAAGATTTTCTCAACCAACAAAGCGACGCCGTATTATTTCAGCTATTCACATAGTGGCGTCAACCCTTTTAGAATTGACCTCACGGTGCCGTCATAAATAAATAAATAAATAGTCTTCAAGTGAGCATGTCACATGGGCTTGAGCCTTATAAGTGAGATGGTCGCAAGGCCTTGGTACAAAAGGGCCCACATTTGCCAGAGGCAGTCCCAGTGGCCCCCAGCCTGGCTGCCTTGTCAAGTATTGGGCAAACTCTAAACATGGTTTTTCCAAACACTCTTTGAAGGCTAACAAATTGCTGAATGCCAAGGTGCCATGGCAAGAAGACAGAGTACTAAGTTATCTTGCAAGTCACAGCACCTTTGGCATCAACGGCATGGGCCCAGAAATTGTTCCAAATCTTGAAGACCAACAATTTTGCATTGATAAAATGATCACATGTTATGGCCAAAAGATCTTCAACTTCTGCAGTGCTACACTATTGACACACATTCGGTTGGCTGGTTTCACTTTCTTTTGTCCCCTCGAATAACCTAAAACAGCTCCAAAGGCAGCCCCTTGAAACGACAGTCAATTGTTGATGCATTATAGAACTCGCTTGCAGTAGTGGCTAACAGCTGCCTGCCTGCCCACCCTTGCTCGACTCTTCTGGTATGAGCGAACAGTATGTACATTGATTTGGAAGGAGTCAATTGCAATTAGTTGACAGCCGCTGCCTGCGCACCCTTGCTCGACTGTTCTGGTATGAACGAACAGTATGTACATTGATTTGGAAGGAGCTATTTGCAATTAGTTGTTGCTAGCTAAGCTCGTTTTTCAAATGAAAGCAAAATGAGTCAAAGATGTAGTTAGACCACAACCAGATAGTGTGGGGAACGACCAATGTCTCATCAGGCTTCCCTTCTTCCCTTCAATGAGCTGGCTTGGACTATTTTCTTCTTCTTCTTCTTCTTCTTTTTTCAATTATATTCCTCTGATGGCATCTTGGGGGGACCAGGTCGGTTTGACAATTTATATTTCCCTGATGTTTTTGAGCTGAGTATTTAGAGCCCCACTCAACCTCGCAGATAAGGAAGAACAGCAATGAACCTTTTAAATGTGCTGCGTCAACCCATCTGTAGTTTTTTGTGGACTTTAAGAACCCTCAATTATTTTAGCACTTGAATGATTTAGAGAGATAACAACCTTTTATTCCAATTGGCTTTGATTGAGAAATCGGAAATTGAAATCTCTCTGCACATAAATTCAGTTCTAGAATTTTATTGCTACTTGTTATAATCATATTAGCCCTCAAATTTGGGTAAGTTGACCAAATGCCAATGTGCCTTAGCCATTTTGCTTGACGACGAGCATCTGCAACATGCTTGTTTTGATGCAACCTTCAACCGTATGTGGAGAGAGAAAGGGAGACCAAGTCAGAGCTGAGTTGGGTTTTTAGTCGTGTTCGAGGCTAGAGATTGGTCTTTGGGTCCACACCATGAAAATGGACCCAAGAAATTTGGCACAAAAGTCTTAAAGAGTTTTTTTTTTTTGGACGAAAGTCTTAAAGAGTTGGGTGGAAGAATTGTATTATACTAATTTTTGGGGCATTCACGTAAGACTGTGGCGGTGTTGCATTATGGTTGAATGGGGAGACAAAATCTAGGGTTGGGGATCTATAAATCAACCACTACTAATTGTCAGGTTGAAACCAGGTGTTCAATGGTGTTTGCAGATGTCAAAAATTGGTGAACCAAGGTAAAATCATAAATGCACAATGTAACACAGTTTACCCATAGTCGGGCTACATCAACGTTCAAAAATTCAGGTTTTCACCATATAAAATAGATAGTATTTATAATTTACAAGAAAAATGGGAGAGGTAAAGATCCAATAATGAAAGTGAACAATGAGAATTACAATGAGAGGGAGATGCCCATTGTATGTAAAAAGATACGCACTCTCCTTTTGTGGGCTTTCATACTAGGCCGACCGACAAACATTACTGTTGTTGGAACCCCATATTTTTCGGTTCCTTGCTGTTTAGAGAATTTGAGAGGTCTTAGGGCCTGTTTAGTGGTTTGGAGGGCTAAAACTGCTTTCTGACAACGTTTGACATAAAAGTTTAAAAGTGCTTCTGGGTCATATAAGCACTTTCTGGATAAGCACCTGTTGTGTGCTTCTTCAAGAAGAATGCTGCTTTTTCAAGAAGCACTTGGATTTCTTATGAAAATTTCAACATTTTTATAATTAAAGCACTTTTACTATAAGCGCTCATGAGTAGAAGTGCTTCCTAGAGAAGTAGTCCAAAACGAGGCCTAACACTTAGTGAGGATAAGCTTATTTAGGTGTGTATTTTATCTCCAAAAGACTATGGTGCAATTTAAGGAGAGATTCCACTTAACATACCTTGATAGGAAAAGTAGGGCTTGTTTGGTATCCTACTTGGATCCAATTTTATAACTCAAAAACAAATTTGACCCAAAAACCTATTTGATAGACTCATTTTTAAAAACCCAAACCCAAAAAAAATTCAAAAACATCCCTATTATTAAAAACAAAAAAGTGAGATTTTATGATTCTCTCTCTCTCTCTCTCTCTCTCTCTCTCTCTCTCTCTCTCTCTCTCTCTCTCTCTCTCTCTCTCTCTCTCTCTCATCACGTTCTCTCTCTCCTCCCTATGTCGTCTCTCTCTCTTTCTTGCACACCACCAAAATTGATAGGGTTTATGCCTCACATCTTTTTCCTTTTCTTTTGTTAATTTCAATTTGGGGATTAGGGTTTCTAATTTTCTGATTTTAATTTCAATTTTTTTAGATCTAAAAAATAGTTTGGAGTTCAATACCAAATAAGTTTTTAAATCTTAAAATCACTATTTGAAAACTCATATTTTTAAAAAGAATTATATATTTTTAGTTTACTTTTTCGAGTAGGATACCAAACAGAGCCTTACATTTCTTGTGTGATATACCTGTATTTGAGCCACAATATTTTCAAGTTTCCATTATTATTGTTAGCTAGTATCTTTAAGAATTAATGTTCCAATTTAGTAATAAAATTGCAAGCAGCTCAGAGATGTATAGTTGAGCACTATGCACATTGTTTGCTCCTTTTCCCAAAGGTGAGGCTAAGCATATTCTATGCTTACATAGAATGCTAAGCATATTGCTTTATAGTGCTGCAAGTGCCATTTTGATATTTGGGTATCTTTATAAAAAAAAAAAAAAAAAAAAAAAAAAAAAAAAAAAAAAAAAAAAAAATTTCCTTCTTTTTGGCTTTGATATACAAATAAATAGTCAAGATTTAACTAAAATTATGTTCGATGAACAAGGGGCGAACTCTAGGCTAGGCTAACTTAAATTTAATCAGCACTACCAACAAAGTCTAGTCTATTGAAAAATTGCATTAACTTGCACACAAGAGGTCTCAAGTTCAAACTCTTATGGTATCATTTGTGTGAAATCTCCCTCTCCTTTAGTACCATCGCTTCTACTCACAAAAAAATAATCATCATCACTTCTCATTATTAGGCTAAATTTAGTTCCAATTAATGACCCATGAATTGAACTAGGTTACAGCCCAGTTCGGCCCACACCCAATTATCTTTCACATTGTCCGCCGAAACGGCTTGCGTTCGCAGTCTTGGAAGTCCGGTCCATTCTGCTTCTTCACTCTCTCTCTCTCTCTCTCTCTGACTCCTGAGTGTCTCTACTTTCAAGTTTCATGTCTCCGCTTGTTGACATTTGACATTTCACCTTTCAAAGTTTAAACCCCATTATTTTTTCTTAAAGAAGAATATATTTCCTGTTTGCTACGAGCTCAACCTTTGCTCGATGAGACGTAGAGCTCGTGCAGCCATTGAATCAACTAAGCTTATGCAAGACAAGCACAGAGAAATAGCATCTTATTCTAGGTAGGCAATCTGAATCCCAGTTGGAATGTCCTTCAAACAAGTTTTCTTTTTTTGGTTTTGTTTATGAATAATAAAGCTTTGTGATTTTACTTATGTTTTTAATGTTTTGTCTCCAACTCCATTGGAAATAGGGTCTGGTTGTAGTGTAAAGAATTGGGTTTGCCTCAAATTATGGAGAAGAATTTTATTCTGCTCGTTGGGATTTTGTTGTTACAGCTTGTGGTTCATTGCTCTGGTTCTGATTTGAAGGTAAAAGCATGAGAAAACTTTGTCTAATTGTAGTAAAGTTTATTGCTTTTCCACTTCTATTTATTAGTTAGAGGTTTTGAATATAGGTAGAAGACGGTGCAAAAACTGATTTAGATCCAAAAGTTTCATTAACTTCGAAAAATTCGAACACTTCGGGTGATCAAACTAGCACGGATTCAAATGCTATTGACATTAAAAAAGTGAAGGAAGACAGAGATCAGGTTGGTGCATCAAAGGAGGGTGTTGGGAATGCTGTAGACAAGAGCAATCCAAGTAAGGAAGTCGGCTTAAAACAATCTCATGATGTGCTAAAGAGTGGGAGAGGATCGAGTGGGGGATTTAAAATGGAGGGTTATGACAAGAAACAGAAGCCCAGTGATGGGTTGGAATCAAAGCAATTGCCTAAGGAGGTGGATAATGGAGGAAATGTGGTCACTGTGAACCCTGTGAGGAAGGAGGGCCCTGGGACCGAGGAATGTGATCCAGTTAATAGGTGCACTGCTGAGGAGAGCAAGCTGGTTGCGTGTTTGAGAGTTCCCGGAAATGGTATGTGCTACATTTTGTATTCATGATAGCTTTATGGATTTTTCTTGTTTATATTATCTATCCTAGGTGTTTTCTTATTTGTTTGATCTTTGAAACCCATGTTTTTTTACGTATATATGCGGAATTTGCTGTAATGTCTAATAGGCTTATAATTGTATTAGTCTGCACTGGATATATAATAACAAATTACAAAAGGAGGTGTCAATTGACTAGAAGAATTGGTACAACATATCCTGGACTAACAGAATCAAACCGAATTATTGACCTTGTTAATAATTCTGTATGAAATAAATATACAGATATCTGAGTTTGTTCCTTTTATGCTTTCAGATCATTATTCATTTGGCATGCTGAAATATGTTTTATCCTTTTTGAAGTCTGTTATGTTTTGCATTAATAATACTTGATTTACTGTGTGTTTGCATTTTTCAGATTCGCCCCATCTTTCACTTTTAATTCAGAACAAGGGTAAAGGCCCTCTCTTAGTTACCATTGTAGCTCCTGATTTTGTGGCGCTAGAAGAAACAAAAATTCAACTTGAAGAGAAAGAAAACAAAAAGGTAAGTATAAACAATACTAAAGAGTTGTTTGAATGATATTTTAAGCCCGGACACTCGGTTCCTTAATACATAAAGCGCCATAAATTCTTGACTGTCCAGATGTATAGAGTTACTATGCATTGGCAGAAAGAAAAACCCACACAATATTAATATTGCACAAGCACCAAGCATGCAATAGTCTAAAACAAGCACAATGCAATATTGAAGAAAGCTATTTCTTACATTGATGGCAAGGGTTTAACGGAAGCTAGAGCAAACGCTCTTACAGATACTGGTGGTCAGGGGCTTGAGTGATGGCCTTGGCCTGGGACAAGCTTGGCTTGTGGCAGTACGAGCACAACCCCCACAAATTTTCATGATAAAACTGTCGAACATGTAGCTCACTTCATTTTCTATCATGTTTGCTTTAGAAGATCTAGGCTAATCATTACAGGTCTTTGTTGATGTTATAGGCTGTAATGATGAGCATGCTTGTCGCAAAAAGTTTGTCACCATGTTAAGAACTGGGTTGTGACCTGATATAATTTGGATTATGCAGGTGAAAGTTTCTGTTGGAAATGGAGGAACTGGCAGTTCAATTGTCCTAAAAGCAGGAAATGGTCATTGCGACCTTGATTTGAAGGACCTGATCACACACAGTTCCAGAAAGGAGCCTGAGAATTCTTCAAATCTAACCTATACAAACTTCCTGACACAAAGACCTACCATTGTGATTGTATTCTTTGCTACACTACTGATATTGGCAGCGGCTTGGATGTGCATCAGCTTTAGACACAGGAGGCTCTCCAGCAATGGGTTTAAATATCAGAAGCTAGACGATGACCTGCCAGTTTCGAATGAGGAAAAACCGGAGTTGCACATTAATGATGGGTGGGATAATACTTGGGATGATAATTGGGATGATGAGGAGGCACCCCACACACCCTCGATGCCAATTACTCCTAGCCTCTCTGGCAAAGGCCTTGCATCACGACGGTTGAACAAGGAAGGTTGGAAAGATTAGTTAATTAGGTTGAGAAAGAGATGATAGATGCATGCGCCTGTTTGTTATCTTATATTTTTGTCATTCACGGAAAAATATCCGATTTTTCATTTCCCTAGCAGATATGGAAACTGGGAACAAATTTGTTTTCCCCTTCTATACCGGAAGCTATCTGTCTTTGTGAAGTTTTGCTTTTATACTGGATAAAACTTCATGTATGAGGATTGAGTGCAGTAGGGAAGTTAATTGCTTGATCCCTTACCCAACTAAAAAGAGAGAGAACACGGAACAACAAACAACAGAGATGCTTTGAATATGTTAGTTTTCAAGTTTCAACTTATATTATCCAACTCTTTGGGCTTTATGGCGTCAATTCTTCCAAGTTAAGAAGCCCCTTTTTGGTAGCAACAAGGTTGAATCGGATTTGACCTGATATTGTAGTGATGCCCAAATGATACCTGTGGATTTGTAAGCCTTTCTAAAATACATTCCCCTCCCTCTTGGAGTTGAGGATCAGACTGTTGGGTTAAGCTTATGTATTCTTGTTCAATTTAGAATTGTTGGGTTGGGTTGGGCTGGGGAACTGCCTTATGGAATCCCAATAGGTTGGCCAAGAAGGTGAAAATGACTACGAAGAAATAAGTTTATGCCTTCTAACGGTGCAGTTTCTGTTAGTATGCTAGATGGAGGCATGTTTACTTTTCTCATCACATTTACACACTAAATCCCCATTTCAGTTGTACTTTTTAACAAATTGCAGTCGAGCAGTTACCCCTCCACTCGAAATCCTATATTCGAAAGCTACTCCGAACCGAAACTGAATGTCAACCTATATTTCCTTGAACCAACATATAAACTAGTTGACTTCCGTCTATAATTCTCGAGACAAGTGTATGTAATTGATGGACAATCAAAAACAAATTATATACTATTTTATTTGCATGTGTGTGCTGTATAAAAATTGGAATCTGATATGCTCATTTTGTCCTCTGTTCATAATTTGGTAATTCAAATATAGTAACACAACTCACCGTTTCTATATTCTTGATCATCATCATCACGTTCCCTCCCTCCTCTTCTATTCCTCTACATTGTCGTTTTTCCAAACCAACCCTTCAATCAAAACTTCCCCAACAAAACATACGACAACAGAAAAAACGCGGTTGTTAAGGCCATGTGAGGCCTAGCGTCACCAGCGACCACCTGTCGGGTTTTGATTGCACCACCTAGACGGAGCACGTGGATGAAGCTTCGCGCGATGGGATGTCCCTTGGGGAGACAGCACGTGGAGGGCCCCACGGTAGATTGTCAGATCGCACGAGCCCTCACATGACCGAACTGCGCTGCTTCCTCCAGAAACAGACACCTGTGCTGGTGTCCGGAATTAACGGCCTGAGAATCAACGTTGGACGTGACTGGCGGGGGTGATTTGACGGCTGTGATCTGCGAACATGACATTGTAATCGTATTCTCGTCTTTATTTTGTCTACAAGTGGTGGTAGTCTATTTTATTTTACGGTTGAAGTCCGCCGACGACCTTTTTGACTGTCCTATATTTCATTTCATACTTTCTAATTATAAATTTGGCCCTTCTCTTCTAGATTTTTGGTTTTACATATTTTTTGCTTTTGGTGTAAAAATAACGATTTTGATCATCATGATTACACATAAATAAATAAAACTTATAATTTAAATTGTTAAGAGTAGTTATTCACGTATATAGTGTTTTAACGTTTCATGTAGAAAGGGATTCATATTGTAAGGCGCTCAGATGAAGATAGTTCTAATATTGGTCATTTGATTACATACTGCATGATGTTTTTATCACATTTGAATGGTTCTTTTACCATTGTGTTTAGAGAGGTTAATGTACTGGCTCATCGGTTAGTCTGTTATGCTTGGTCATTAGATGGTGTATCTTTATTTATAGTAGGGGTAAATACTTTTTTGGTCATTGAATTTTACGTCTCTTTGTCATTCGAAATCATAATACAATTCTCACTTAATCGATTTAAACTTTAATATAACACCTAATTTGTAACCTTAGTTGAATGCCTCGCTATCTTTCAAAGAAGATGTTCCACGTAGAATAAAATGCAGAGAGACTAACCACAACTAAATATCAAACTTTATTTAGTCTGTTTTGCACCGTACGCGAAATATTATTCTAACTTTTTGGTCCAATTATTTAACGCAACATAAAACGGGGGTAGTTTTTGTAATATATATACTTGCTCCTCTTTAAAAATGGAATTCTATTGAGTATTTAAATTAGATATTTAGCAGGCAGTTGGAGAATAAACATATCTACATGCAAGCAAAGACGTATCTAACTGGGCAAGTTGCACGTATAGTCACAACAAAATATTGGGGCTTTTGGGCCATGAAATCCATTGCAGTTCAGTGGGGACGTAGGGTGCTGAGATTCGGATGTCGGCTTTTGACGTTCGCTTTTTCAATTTAGAACTCAACTGCCTTTTTGGATTATTTTACATTCCCAAATCAAACCTAAAATCTTACACTTTGTTTTTCAATAAGAAAAACTTACTTATACAATATAGTGGAACATATATCATATTTATACAAATAGAGTGGATAGATTCAATTGAGGGAATTTTAAGTTAAAATATAGCAATGATCTTTGAACTAAGATCCGATTTTACTTTTCGTCCCTCAAATAAGTACAGATCTCTCTATAAAAGGTGACGTTACACCAGTTAATTAGCTTAGCCAGCTTTTTTATTTTATTTTTTATTTTAATACATGTTTCAATGAAATATGTAATTGAGGGAGCACCATTATCATTGGAAAAGAGGTTGATGTCAATGTCATCGTTTACATTAATGTAACATTTGTTTTGACAACTTGAAAAAGACATGCATGTGTGAGAATAACATCGAGTATATGTGATGTGAATGATTGGAACTCGTATTAGTTTAAGAATATTTTCGTTAAAAATAAAAATAAAATAAAGTATTAATGGCATGCATTAAATTGGTTTCTTCTTCTTGTCGTCAAGGTCGAAAGATATAGTCTTTCAAATGTTTAACCAAAAGTTCATCTCAAAAATCTGAAAATTGGGGTCGAGTACGTTGAGACCTCTTTTTCTAATAGAAAAGAGACTTTGTGACTCAAGGCTTTGACAACAAAATTTGATTATAATTTCCCACTATAACAACTATATTACAACTTACAAACACACAGTTCACTCACCCCCAACCCCAAGTTAATGTCAATAACACCTAAGGGTTGACATGATGATGGATACGTCTCGATTAACAACTAGTTGATTAACAAATGTTTCTAGTGTGTTTGGTCAATCTCTTAAGTTTCTCTCTCGCTTGTCATAAGAGTTTGGTTTTAGTCTAATAACTTTACGTTAATAATGTAAGGTATGTGCCACATATCTTCTTTATACATTGATATCTTCAATTTGCCAAATCAAAAGATAAATGAGAATCGAACTCTTTTTATGAATAAATATATTAAAATTGCATGTTTACTAATCCGTAATTGGATTATGAGGAATTAAATTGAGGAGAATTATATTCCGGATTCCTATTGAAGTTGTTTACTAAACCATATGAATTTATGGGAGTTAGATTCTGTATTCCTATTGAAGTTATTTACTAAATCATATGGAATTGGAGTATGAGTGGTACTAATTACTAAAATGTCATCATTGTTGGATTAAACTATATGACAAATTTAGAATTTTTAAAATTGTGTGAGGATATAATGGGTAAAAAAAATGAATTCCTAATAGGTAAGTTTTTCAGGAATTAGAATACCATATGTCACCAAAAAATTGAATTCCTCCAAAATCATGAATTCAATTCCTAATTTTGTGTGGGCCCAACTTACTTTTTAATTCATTAATAGTAAACACGAGAATCCTCTATAAGTGAAATTCAATTTATGATGAGAATTCCAATTCTTGATTAGTAAACACACCGTAAAGATAATAGACTTGTTCGGATGAGATGAGATTTGAGTGGAGGACATTCACTAAATATTGGAGTGGTATATCACGACACACAAAGCTAGAAAACAAAACAAGCAAATCAATCAGACTTGCTAGATAAAAGCATGCATGCATTATGCCATCAATAGCGCGAGTGATAATACGAAGAAACAAATAAGAGATTAATCAAAAACAATTGGCTTAGTAGTGGAAGCATAATTGGCCCCAAAATAATGATCCAGAGATATTTGAAATATATACAAACTTTACAAAGTTATAAAGTCATCGGTCTCTCAAAACTCATCTGTCATGTATAGGTGGTGGTGGGGGGAAAGGCCAAAACCCTCTTGGTCCGTGATTAGCTCATACCAAGCTTCCCTGCCTCTGTCAGACATGAACACGCCTTGATTTGCGCTTAGTGCAGGTAGTATGTACCTCCATAATCCAATATACAACTCATACAATATCTTAATTAAGAATAGTTTATTTAAAATTAATTAATTTAGATTTAGATTTATTCCCCTAATTAAGCATAGTGGCTTCAATTTCATGGAGAAGTAGTTGGTTCTCTTTGTAAAAGGTTATTTGGCCTGACTCTAAAAAATTGAGTTTTTTATTTAGAGTTTTCTTAATTGGGTGATCTTATTCCGTACAAAAATAGTCACCCTTCTAATGAATCACATTCATACTAGGGTTGGTTTACATTATTTTTTGATGTTAATAGGTGAGAAAAGAAAGAGTATTTGTGGAATAGGGTTCGATTTTGGGAATCCTTAAGAGCTGTAGGTATCTTTCTACGTATCGTGCATTGCGTTTGACTCTCACGAACGTGCTAAATTACTAAATTTTAACATTAATTATATTGTGCTAATGGCAATGTGTCTACCAACTTAGTTTTTTAAGTACTCTAGCTCTTATAGAGGTAAAAGGGGCTTTCTTTCAAAACCTCTAGACCAAAAACTTTTACCTTTAGGTGAGCACGTGCTCTTTACCTATTTATAGTACAACGGTGTCACATTTAAACATTTCTTGACGTACCATCTTTTTGATAGAGGTG